GCCCGACGATATTCCACCAGAGCCACAAATCACACGCGTTGCGGTGAAGCCACCGCCTTTCTGGAAAAATAATCCTTCATTGTGGTTCGCTCAGATCGAAGCACAATTTTCTATCGCTCGCATTAGTGAGGATTCTACAAAATTCAACCATGTAGTTGCAGCAATTGAGTCTGATATTCTGAATTCAGTGCATGACTTAATTCTCAAACCACCTGATTGTGATAAATACTCCAAACTGAAACAGCGGCTCATTGAAATCTATTCAGAAAGTGAATCTTCAAAAATACGTACTTTACTACAAGGACTTGAACTTGGAGATCAGCGACCTTCATACTTGCTGTCACGAATGCGTGATCTGGCAGGAAGCCATTTTAGTGACGACTTGTTGAAGTCACTATGGCTTTCGCGTCTCCCTAATAACATACAAATAATTCTTGCTGCTTCCAATGAAGATCTAACCCGTTTAGCAGCAATGGCTGACAAAATTAATGAACTTGTTACTCCAGCTTATGTCAGTGCTGCTAATGCTGCACCTTCCAGTTCATCCCTCGAACAACAAGTGGCTGAATTGACCAAAAAAGTATCTGAACTCTCTACAAGTCTTCATGCTTCACGGAGATACAATCGATCAAATCAGGGCCCACGTAATAAATTTCGTGCCCGAAGCAGGAGTCGATCTCGTCACAATACTCGAACGCAGTACAAAGAACCCACAAGTGGCATATGTTTTTATCATATGAATTTTGGCGCTCAAGCTCGCAAGTGTGCCCCTCCATGCACTTTTGAACAAGCGGGAAACTAAATGGGCGGTCTTCTGCTGGCCAACAGAATGTCCGCCAAATCGACAGAATAGTACTGGCTGATCGTTCAACTCAGTTATGTTTTCTAGTAGATACTGAAGCTGACATATCAGTGCTCCCGAGAACTAAAACAAATGCTCACCAACTTATTAAACTTGTACTGTATGCAGCCAATGGTACCCAAATTGCAACCTACGGTACCAAACTATTGACACTTGATTTAAACTTGCGCCGGACTTTCAACTGGCCTTTTATTATTGTGGATGTAATTATTACAATAATTGTAATTATTGGACTCAAGCAATTATTGGTGTCGACTTCTTGACACATTTCCACCTTCTAGTGGATGTCAAGAATAATTGCTTAATTGGTGCTACAACTCAGCTGACATCACAGGGCCAAGCTTCTCACATATCAAACGTACCTACCAACATAAGTGTTGTATCGTGCAGCACACGGTTTCATCGGTTATTAGCAGAATTCCCTGACATTTTAAACCCATCCAAATCAGGGCAGCATACTCATCAGCCAGAAGTGTATCATCACATTGAAACACATGGCCCACCTGTATTTTCCAAGCCTCGTCGTCTTTCTCCAGAGATGCTAAAAGCTGCTCGCAAAGAATTTGAATTCATGCTAGCACAGGGAACCATTCGCCCATCTAAAAGTCCATGGGCCAGTCCACTTCACATGGTTAAAAAGTCTAATGGTGACTGGCGGCCTTGTGGAGATTATCGTCGACTTAATGCCGTCACAGTCCCTGACAGATATCCAGTCCCACATATCCAAGACTGTACCCATCTTTTTCATGGAACAAACATATTTTCTACCCTCGATCTTGCCAGAGCATATCATCAGATCCCAGTGCATGCTGAAGATGTGCCCAAGACCGCAGTGACTACACCATTTGGTCTCTTTGAGTACTTATATATGCCATTTGGCCTTCGCAATGCTGGCCAAACATTTCAGCGTTTCATACACCAAGTACTGTCTGGCCTCGATTTCTGCATCCCATATTTTGATGATATCCTGGTTGCATCTACAGATGCGGAAGAACATTTTCAACATCTGCGTCAGATTTTCACTCGCCTTAAAGATCATGGATTAAAACTAAATCCATCCAAATGTGTACTTGGTCAACCCTCAGTTTCCTTTCTTGGATGTCTTATCACCCAGAATGGAGTCAAACCTTTACCGGAAAGAGTCAAAGCAATTAACGACCTACCTCAGCCCAAAACCATCTCTGAACTGAAGCGTTTTCTAGCAATGTTAAATTTCTACCGACGCTTTCTGCCAAATGCCGCAAAAACACACAAGCCTGCCTACATGAGTTTCTGAAGAATAGCAAAAAAAAAAAAAAAAACGATCAACGAGCTGTCCCTTGGACTGAATCTGCATCTGCAGCATTCGTGCAATGCAAACACGATCTGGCAAATGCAGCCACACTTTCTTATCACTCACCTAGTGATCAGCTCTCTATAATGGTAGATGCATCTGACACGGCCATAGGAGCAGTGCTTCAAGCCCATACCACTAAAGGACTTTCCCCAATGGCATTCTTCTCCAGAAAACTTACTACTGCAGAAAGGAAATACAGCACATATGACAGGGAGCTACTTGCTGTGTACTGTGCTGTTAAATACTTCCGGCACAACTTGGAAGGACACGACTTCATCATTTTCATCGATCATCGACCATTAACCTTCACCTTCGCTTTTAGAAAAAACTCTGACTCATGTTCTCCTCGTCAGCTTCGACATCTGGATTTCATCGCCCAGTTTAGTACAGATATCAGATATGTCTCTGGTACTGATAATTGTGTCGCTGATGCCTTGTCTCGGGTAAACAATATCAACCTCACTACCCCAGATTTCTCTGAAATTGCAAAAGCTCAATTGCATGATGAGGAACTCAAGAACCTAATCTCAAATCCACAAACCTCCCTTCAGTTACAACCGCTGCACATTGATCCAACGCTTAAAATTTACTGTGACATAGAGAACAATAGAATACGTCCCTATATTCCTGTCAATTTTAGACGTGAAGTGTTTAATGCCTTGCACAATTTGGCACATCCTGGAATCCGTGCCACCAAAAAGCTGATCGCAGACAGATTTGTCTGGCCAGCAATGAATCAAGACATCACAGAATGGACTCGTTCATGTATTAGATGTCAACGGTGTAAAGTATCCCGTCACACTCACAGCCCCATTCAACAATTTAACCTTCCAGCAAGACGCTTTGATCATGTGCACTTAGACTTGGTTGGCCCATTGCCTCCTTCAAATGGTTACACTTACCTCCTCACTTGTATTGATCGGTACACAAGATGGCCTGAAGCCATTCCTATTGAAAATATATCCGCTGAAACTGTAGCTCGAGCATTCATCTCCCAGTGGCTTTCAAGATTTGGCATGCCTACCACCATCACTACTGACCAAGGCCGACAATTTCAATGTCACTTGTTCGCATCCCTCACCTCTCTTCTTGGCATTCGCCATATTCGCACAACACCATACCATCCATCTGGAAATGGGATGGTGGAACGCTTTCACCGATCTCTCAAACAAGGTCTGAAGTGCCACAGTAGCACACACTGGACAGAAGCCTTACCCCTAGTCTTGCTTGGTCTTCGCACAGCATTCAAAGAAGACATTGGTAGCACTTGTGCTGAAATGTTATATGGTGCAACCCTCCGTCTGCCAGGTGAATTCTTTCACCCAGAATCTACTCCAGTTATCGACCCTCCAACATTCCTTCAACGTTTACGTGAGACCATGAGCAATATCTCGCCAACCCCAGCATCTTCGCATAACCAGCCAAGCTATTTTGTACATCCTGCGCTTGAGACATCTTCGCACGTATTCGTGCGCAACGATGCAATTAAGCCAACTTTAACACCTTCATATGATGGTCCATTCAAAGTTGTCAAACGAACACCGAAACATTTCACCATCATCTGCAATGGCAAACAATCAGTGATTGGAATCGATCGTCTCAAACCAGCATTTCTAATGCAAGATCCAACAACTTCCTCATCAACATCACTCCCGGAAGAAAGCTTACATCCCGTTAAAGAGCAACCTAAAACTACCAGATCTGGAAGGAAGGTTAAACTTAACCGAAAGTACTTATAACGTACCGATGGTACTTGGGGGGGAGTACTGTGGCGTTCCGACAGATACTTCAACTTCTATTCATGAGATGGCGCGACGTGTAAAATCCAGTTCTTAATCAAAGCAGCAAAGCGACGTCATTACTCACTCAGACTTCTCGTCAGACAACTGTACGCGACGGTAGCATGAACTGTTTTCCGAGCTCTGCAATGTAATTTAAATCGTAATTTAGTACTTAATGTATTCTTTTGTTATAGGAGATTGTCTACTCTTATTTTCTTTAATTATATTATGCATTAAGCACTCGACCACCAAAAATACATCATTATTTCATAAATCATGATTTCATATTTTTAATTTTATAATTTCTGCATGCCCTCTTACTAGATTTGAACTGATGATTTAATATCCAGAAAAATCCCAAATCCAGAATCGCCAAAGTCCTTACGGGTCCGGATTTTGGACTTTGTACTGTATAACACATTTATTGAAATAAATATAAAATTGGATTTTACTGTCTCATATAAATAAGTCTGTGCGTGACACGACTTTTTGGATTTGTTTGTGAAAATCTGTTTTTAAACAGTTTATGGCTAAATGTTTTTAATTACTTATTTTAGTCTGTGTTTTCATAAACTTTCATTTGTTAATATGATCAGATCAAAATATTTGAAAGTATAATCTAAAATATATCAAGTAATGAAAAACCTCATGACCACTTAAAGGCAGTCATGCCACTTGGGGATTACTATGAAGAACTTCATACTATTCTACAGCTTAAAAAATTAAATAATAATTTCCAAACATTCTAATACTAATTTATGCATTTAAACTGACAATCACTTGAGGTTATGATCTAGTGAAATACAACATGCAATATGATGTGCTTCTGTTTTTTTTTTTTTTTTTTTTTTTTTTTTAGAATTTATTGATTACAAGAAATTTTTAAATGCAACTTAGGTGAAATAAATACTAATCACTCTTTCAATAAATCGGTATTTTTTGTTCTTTCTGTATACTTTAAAAAGAGGATAAATATAACTTGTTTAATTTTCTGAAATTAATAACATTGATTTATTTTCAGTTGATTTCTGGTTGCCGAGAACCTGATACAAGGATTCGTACAGCATTAGGTGAATGCCTAGGAGAGCTTGGAGCAATTGATCCAGGAAGGTACATAATTTTGCATAACATTTTCCCCTGTTTTCATTACATTTTTTTACACATATTTTTCCTCTTGATCCATTCATTTCTCTCAATGTTGAAACAGCAAATAAATTAGTTCTTATGTTTTAGAAATATGCAGAAAATAATTCACCATTAAAATTTACACTAATAACATTATAAATGAAAATTATAAAGTGCTAGTACTTTCTATGAATGAATGTTAAGAAAATTGCTTTCTGTTTTACTTCAAATAGTACATTTATACTTTTGAGTACTTAAAAACTTCTAATTCTCTGATACAAAAAGAAAAAATCATGGATCACTGGCTGTTTCTGAAAATTTCTACAGTAAAATAGAGCAAATTTTGCAGGATTTGAAACTTCTATGTCTAGAAGTTTCAGTCAAAGTCTTTCAGATCCTACTAGACTGATAAATGAGTTATCACTTCAGTCAGAAATAAGAGGATAAAGTCCTAGAAAGGTTAAAATAAAGTGTTTGTTAACAGAAGGCTCTGCATGTGCTAGTAATGAACCTTCGCTATTTGTGGGTATTTAAAACATCATATTATGAAGTTAAATTCCAATTTAGGTAACATAGTCTGAGACTATGCACAAAATAAACTACTTAAGGTGGCTAAAGAAATTGATGGCACATATTTTACATTACCTAGCAAAATGGCTAAATCCAAAATAACTTTGGCAGAGCTGGTGATTGTACATAATTGCAAGGCAGTGCTGCCAGAAATTCTAAAAAATATAAACCCTTAGCATAAATGCATAACAACTAATTTGCATTCTGCTCAGGACTGTAGAAAGAAGTTAAAGTTCATATCATTATGATTGGATAATGAACATAAAATCTGATGAAATAACTTAAAAATTAAAAACTAGAATCATAGTTATATGTAAATTAAAGACAAGCATGTAATTTCTCTTTTATATACATTATATTTAATGTTCTATACATACATTTGCTTTATCATTTTACATTATCTTATCATGTTTTCCTACTTATTTTTAATCACTTGCGAATTATTTATGCTATAATGTACATAATCTGTAACATAACCTGTAACATCCCTCTTATTATTTTATATACCTCATCATTCTGCTAACATAGCTACCTAACACAGCTTGTAACATATCTCTTTGTATTTATTTTGGTTACAATTATTTTATATAATCTATCATTCTGCTACCAGCATCTTTTTAGTATGCTTAGGTATTTTGTTTAAGGTAATGTAATCTTTTTCTGAGTTATTGGAAATATTTTTAATTTGAAACATTTTAATAAGTATTCTGTATTTATGGTTTGCTTTGTCTGCAATTAGGAAACATAAGTATTTTTAAGCATATATCTTTATATTTGTAGTACTTATTTTTATTTGTAATTTCATGCCAGTGTTTTACGTCTTTTTTTAGTTTATGTAAACTTTATTTTAATGCATTATATTTTTAGGCTTGATATGAAAAGTGCTAGCTCCAAAGAAACAGTTAATTTTTATGAAAGTATTGACAATGAAGATTTTGCTTTTGCCTTAATACAAGAATTAGTGCATTCTTTTCTGGCTGCTGATGACTGTGGCATTCAGGTAATTTGAGAAAGCTATCGTTCTGCATATTATTGCTTGCAGAAATTTCTGTAGTACTGGCATATTTCTTTCTTCTAGCTTTTCAGTCATGTGAATAGAAATATCTAATTTATTCACAGAGTTTTTAACTTACCTCCTGAATGTAGGAAAAGGTTTCTTCAGAAAGACAAAGTCTTCAAATTTATGCCAGAGTCTTTACTGCCCTTTGTTTGCCAAAGCAAAGCTTTCACGAAGATCATAATTTGATCTGAATAAGGCATCATTACTTTGCTGAAACTTGCTAATCTTAGCCACCATTGGACAATATGTATTTTCTTTGCTTTCCTGATTATTTAATGGTGCATAATCATCACATCTGTATTGATGTGGGCTGATTTTATGAAAAGTGCTTCAGTTATTGTGTTTAATAAGTTGATACAATGTGAGTTATTTTATAAATTAAAGTAATGTTACAGTTTGTGCTATTCATGAAATTGTAGAATCTTAATAATTATATTTCATTAAATAAACATAACTTGAAGCTTTCCTTGAGAAGCCCAATGTGTAGTGTTCATTAATATGGTATGAAAATTTGGGTTAATATGCTATGTTAAAAGTAAATTGTATTGATTGCAATAGCTGACTTTTCTTAAATATATAATTTATTAATTTTAGTGTAGCCATTTTAAATGCATTACAATCTGTAAACTTCTTGAACTTTTTTCATCAAAAGTAACATATCCTCTTGGTTTTCAGGTTTCAAAATTAGTAAAAAATTAAGATATGTGAGTAATTACAGTATTCAGTAGGGTTGGCAGAAACCTTTATGCTATAGCACATCAGAATAACCAAATATGTTATTGAAATACTATAAATGTGATCCTTAATATGTATCCTTAATCTATGTGAAAATTTATTTATTCTAGACTCAAAAAAGCTTTAAGAATGTGTGGGAAGTAGGCTTAAGTATAATAAATAACTAAACTAATATATTTCAGACTTAACATCATCAGCATGCAATAGAAGCAAGACAAAATTTAGTGGAACAACATGTCTTTAGTCACCAATCTCGTGATATGTTGCCAATAGTGTATAGTGGACACTAGCTGAGATTAATGAGGACATCCATGAATTTGAGGGTTTTCATATATCACAAACAAAAAGTAAAATTTTCAAATTAATGGAGTATGTGTAAACATATAGAGAAGTGGTTATAAATAAAGGGGATATAACAGAAGATTTTCAATATAACAGTGCAGTGACAATGCCTCAATCATCTGTCAACTAATGGACAGCAAAATCTGTAATATGCTTTTAGATGTAGAAAATATTGCAACTGCTTGTGAAGAAAGTTATAGAAAAGTTGTTGAGAATAAAAACATTTGGATTGGTTATTCAGTGGAAATTCTCAATGGGGCTATTGCATCATTCGAACAATGGAACTTTGTAACTGAACAAGAAATTAAGTCTATCTATAGAATTAAAGAGAAAGTATTACCTCAAGAAACAAAGAAAATTAAATGGCTTACATTGAAAGAAATGTTTAATAAAGCAATCAAATAAACATTGAGTTTTTTTTTTTTTTTTTCCGTAAATTTTGGATTTTTTATGGTCATAAATGCTTCATTCATTATTTCATATTTTAAATTTCTTAATTTCTACATTTGCACTGTGTGTTAGCAAGAAGAAATTCTAACCTTTTAGATTCCAAGTTTAGATCATTGTGCTTTGGAAGAAAAATCCATACATTACATTTTTGTATATGAAACATTGAATCAGAATTTATGTTGTTCTTAAACTACTTTGAATCATTCATATTTTTCTGTTTGACTAGTATTGCACATGAAGACATTTTATATTCTTGAAACACTAAGGATGTTTGTATTTATCTGTTACCTATAATCCATTTAGCAGCTTTGTGAAGCTTTCTCTAGTACCATTACAGCAATTACATTTATCCTGGATTCCATCGTAGCTAAATAATCTTAAAACCACTACTTCCCAATTGGAAAAGAGGCATTTCTTCAACCTTTTACACTTCGGATTTACACATTAATGCCTTTTCAAAATGTTCTTTTTCTTTGAAGTGGTGCATGATATACTGTGAGCAGTCCTGTATTTTTTTGCTAATTCTGTCTTCTTTATAGTAGAATTTCTGCAACATACCAGATGAAATCCAAATCTTTTGTTGCAGAAAGTCAGTGTGTTTATTTTCCTTATTATTGTAATGTACAACTTTACCTGCATAAAAATTTAATGGTTAAGCCAATATGAAGGCCAAATATTTTGCTCCCGCTCAAAGAAATGTGCTTTGAATGTGAAAATTGCAAAGAATTTACTTAGAAAACAGACAAATGACTCAAAATTAATTCAAAACTAGTTAGAATATTCCCAATCACTTGCTACTTTTCTTAATTCTTTGACAATTCTTTGCACATTTTCAGAAAGAACTACAAGGGGTAATCAAATGAAAAAGTACGAAACAACATGGTGGGCACAAATGTAGACTTTATTCAAAACATACACCATAGGCCTGAGCACAACGATCCTACTGATGAACAAGCCGCAGGATTCCTTGTTCCCAGAATTCCTGTGGCCATGACGAGACCCAATCCTTAACAGCGTCCTTGAGTACGTCGTCTGAATTGCAACGCTTCTCTTTCAGGTGTTTCTTCAGTGGACCAAACACATGGAAATCACAGGGCGATATGTCCAGACTGTAGGGCGGATGGTCCAATGTCTCCAACTGGAACTTGGTCAGTTCCATGTGTGTGACTCTGGAGACGTGTGGACGCACGTTATCATGGAACAGAACCACACCCTCCATGAGCAGCCCGGTCTTTTGTTCTTGATGGACCTGCGTAGGCATCGGAATGTCTCACACTACACATCAGAGTTAATGGTTTTTCTGTGCTCGAGGAATTCCACAAGTAGCGGACCTTGAATGTCGAAAAAGACGGCGAGCAACACCTTGCCTGCTGACGGCACGGCTTTGAACTTTTTAGGGGGAGGTGACGATACTGTCGCGCTTTGCCTCTGGCTCGTAGTGATGGCACCAGGTCTCATCACCTGTGACGATCCGCTGCAAGAAAGCGGGGTCTTCCTGATACCGAAACAGATGTTGCAGTGTCCCCATACACAGTTTCTTGCTGGTCTGTGAGCTGCTTCAGAACCCAAGCGGCACACACCTTCCGATATTGCAACCTGTCGTGAACAATTGTCCACACTGTTTCATAGCTGACATCCACCTTCACTGCCAGCATTCGCAATGTGACACGCTGATCACTTCTCACTAGGTCGTCCACCTTGTCGATGAGATCGCTCATGATGACAGTGTTTGCCTGGCCTGGTCTCGGGTCATCACCCACACTCTCACGGTCTGCACGAAAATGGGCACTCCATGTTCTGACAGACTGGTCAGAGACACATTTCTCCCCATAAACTGTTACCACTCGTCGGTTTCTCACCTTCCACTGTCAGAAATCAGATAACACCTTGCTGCTCCTCAGTTGTCAAATTTTGCAACGCAAATGCCATCCTGTCATCATACGGACTGCCGCATCATATGGTCGCTGCTTTTGATAAGAACCTCTGCTACCTCCTGCGCATGCGGGCACCCGCACATGCTCCGATCCCAGTCAGAGACTCCAATCGCATCCTGAGATGTCTCGCTATGTTCTCCCGTGGCAAAATATGCAAATATTTAACCATTATGTTTTTACGTCGTTTCGTACCTTTTCATTTAATCACCCCTTGTATGAAGGATTGCTTTCAGAAAACTTTACTTATAAGTTGCTAACATCAGCTTAAAGTTAGGCTTTGGATTATAATACAAGGGATTGGGACTTTATAAAAAAAACATTCTTGATTTAATGTTATTAATTTCATGTTATTGATTATTCAGAAATTTCAGTAATATTTATGTTGATAAAACGGATTTGCATGTAGGTCCTTTTCCCTATGGTAAATCAAAGTTACTTTTTAGTACTATATGTTTTAATAGCTTCATGTTATTTAATATATTTTAGAATTTATCTCTGAATCAGTTTGAATGTTTAGTGCAGTACTGAACTAATTGGTAGATTGTATTGAGGAATGTATGCTGGGTCATATGTTGGCATGCCAAAATACTCTTTAAAGTATAGGAAATAATTTATGCCATACGTTAAACCAAAACTGAAAATTATAATAAAAATTGAACATACAGCCAGATTTTTCCTTTTTTGTATTAAAATAAAAAATTTTGGAAGTGTTGTGTTTTTACATAATTTACATCATTCTAAGGAAGACATAATTTTTTATTAGAAATTTTGGGCCAAAATTAGAAACCATAATTATAATAATATACTAGAATATAATGTGGCAAGCAGCTTTACAATAATATCAGTAGTAGCAGAAGATTTTAATGCCCAGAACTATTTTAAAAGACCTCTAATTATTGGAATAATAAAACTTTCTTCTTGATGCAAATGATTTACACAATTGTTCATACTTGTCTTCGAATGTTTTGATAATATTAAATGAATGATAATACTAAGCAATGAGAAAATTATCCTTCCAAATATCAATGGTATTTAACTAATTTAATACAAATGTGACTAGAAATATATAAATGCTTACTTTCACCACATTTTTAATTAGGAAATGCCATTAATAGTTTAATATCTGGTATTTGTTATGCAAAAGTTTGTTTTTGTAATATTTCCGGAAATTATTTAATCGATGTCATACCTGACCATTATTGACATAATCCATACTTTTGCATTATACATATAATCTACTGGTAAACTCTTTAATCCTTTAAATTGAGGATTTTTTTCTTTTTCTAGTAAGATTTTTTTTTTTTTTTTTTTAAACCAAACGTATTCGCACAGCATAAAATGGTGACATCATCTTTGACTATTTCACATCATTTTGAACTTTCAATTTTAAATCAGTATGTATGTTGAGGCAATGCAAGATAGTATAGATCTCTTTTATTGGCAATATAAGTGTTTTCAGGGCAGTATTTTTGAAACTAGGCCATTCATTTGACAACCAATTTTTTTCTCACGATGGATGCGTAAGTTTGCTAAAAATATTTTCTGTTTTCTTTCATCAGCTTAACCAGCCATATGTTGCTCTAAAATCATCTTCCCCAATTTTTATTGATAATTCTTCAGCTTTCTGCCACATCTTTTTCATGAATATTTGTAAACCAAATTTTTAGTGCCTTCTCTACACTCTGATCATTTCTACTATGCATTCATCTCATATTTTCATTTTAGTTTTGCTTTGATTTGTAAATAATATGTTCTTAAAAATCTTGCATAAGAGGGGTTGAGAAACATTTAACTTATGCCGGATTCCATTGACTCATTTTTGGAAGTTTATTATAGTGTTTTAAAAGTTAGATTTGGATCATTATGCATTTTGCTAGTCTCTATGATAAAAATCTCTAAACAGAATAATATAATAAGCATTTTCTAAATAGTATTCTTAAAACTGTACAGCTGAAAGCAAGTGAAGAAATATTTTGGCTTAGGAAAAGCAAAGCCATCTAGAATTCCACTCTGATAAATATTTAAGTCCATTTGGTTGCCTTAAACCAAAATCTGGCTGCTTGGCAACATGTCTCTGCCATCTGGCAATTTTTTACTCCATTTTGACCTTATTTGGCAAATTTAGTTTAAAATATTTATTTTGTAATATATTGATAACATTAACGAAATTGTTGATCACAATACCATGATATATTTTCCATGTTTTCATATATAAATGGGTGAGACTTCGGCAATTCGATAACAAGAACTGTGATTACATTAAGTGACACGTACTGCCGTAAATTTAGAAATAGGTTCAATAAGAATTAACATGTTTTTATAGCTGAAATTAAAATTTTTTCTATTGCATTTAAATGATTCTTTCAAATTAGAAAAATTCTGAATACCCTTCATTTCAAATTTTAAATGTGTATATGTCGTATATGAGTGTTAAAACTACAGTACGCACTTCCTATTGAAATCAGGCCCACCAGTGGCCGAGCAGTAAAGTCGCTGAATACTGCTAGTTCGGTCCGAGGTTTGAATCCCACGAATGGGCTGGCTGCATGGGCGTTTTTGTGGTTTTCCCCATGTGTAATCTGTATACGAGTCAGTTCCCCTTAGAAAGTCCTCCATGAAGGCATCCCTTTTCTTAGACAGATAGCCCTAGTGTGCTTTGCCATAATTAAATAAACCAAACCAACCTATTAAAATCACTTCTGTTTCAAAAGTATTTAAGTTTATAAAGCAGCTAAGTTTAATAGATTGCGATTTGTGTACTACGAACCATGATATTAGTTTTAGATTTTTCAAGTAAAATAATAATTAACAATTATTTCATTAATTAATTCAAAAATAATAATTAAAATTAAATTACTTTATTAAAATAATAATGAAATTTAATTACGAAAGTCAAACTCTTTACTCTTTTTATCAAATCAACATAAAATTAAACTTTTTACTCTTTTAAAGATATTTTTATAATTACATTCTTGATGAAATTTTATCTCTTACAAACAACTAGTATCTGTGTTTGTTTCATAATAGTGAACGACAGTTTTTCAGTTGTATTCTCACTTTTGTAAAACTGCTGATAACGTTCTTGATCACCTTCAATTCAAGAATTTTTCTTAGAATTTGCATTGCTTTTCTATTTGATTGATATGATAATGGCAAGTCATTTTTTTTTCCGTATCATTTTTGCTGTCAGTTTCTGAGTTCTTTTAACACTTTTGTAATCAGTTTTTATACATGTTCTTTGGGCATTGCTGTAAATTTATACATATTCTAAATATAAATTTTCATAATTCCCTTCACTAAAGTCTGAAGCATTAGTTATTAAAATCCCTGTGAGTTTTCTTCTACATAAAACATAAAAGCCACATTTTTGAAAAAAGTTTTTTACTGATTGTAAGAGATTACCCCCCCCTTCCCTGCCTTGATTATAATATGCATGGCATTAGCAGAAGTTTAGACCTATTTATCTGTTTCAAAATGCTTTCATTTTCACAAAATTCAATTCTGTTCATCATTTACTGAATATCTTTCTGTAATGAGATTTGAAAGCTTTTATAATACCCTAAAATTAAAAGTTGAATTCCAGAAGTTGTATTTGCTGTAATAGATACAAATTGTTTTTTATAAAATTATCAAAGGGTGGTGTGCTGTACAGTTATCTAATTAATAAAGCTGATTTTTCATTTTTCACTTTGCTGTCTTATTTCAAAAGAAAATAATATTATTTGGCATTCACGAATTCTTGTTGCTGTGGTAAGTCAGAGGTAAATTCTTGATTCTTTTTAAACGTTAAGATTTTCTGCTTTTATCAATAACCAGTGCTGTCTTCTTAATTATTAGGTCAATACTGCACATAATAATAAAGTAAACCATATCTTCAATTTTTTAAACTAGCTGCTGTTTCAATTTTAAATGTTGATGTGTTCTGGTAATCTTCTGTAACACAATCCAGTTTTGTCTGTGTTGTCAAGTTTCGAGTGGCTTGTATTCCTTTAGCAGCCCATGTTAAGCCTTTTATCCAGTTATCATCTGCATAATGATCTGCTATTCCTTTTCACCATGCAATTTCTGATGAGCAATTGTTGGATTTCATTTTCTCCAACTTGTGAGCCATATATCAATTGATATAAAATTTTCTCCTGGCATTTAGCAAATCAGTGAAAAAAGCTCTAGAAATAGTAACATTTTTTTTAGCTTTATAACTTTTTAAAGTAAGCTAGGCAGTGCTCTTTGGGAAAGTCCTAGTTTAAATATAGTTTTTCTCTGGCTGCCGTTACCCAGAAATCTTTTAACAATTTATCCTTTTTGTTCAGGCTTAAATCTTTATGCTTAGCATTTCAACATGTTACAAGTAAAGCACACAACAAGTTTTAAAATATGCTTTTTACAATGATTTATTCAAATTTTAAAATTTACATTACTGGCCAACAGAAAGGAAACCTTTCATCTGTCTAGCCAGTTTGCCTCTTGATAATTACCAGTGTGACCAATGGTTTCCTTGCTTTTTCTTCAGTTACCACTTCTTTTCCAAAGAATCTTAATTTATGGTAATGTTTAGAAGCATTTCATGAACTTTAACTCTCACTGAACATAATGTGCCTATACCAAAGGTAAGATTTTGATTGTTGAGACCTTAAAAGTTGTAATGTTCTACCTCCTATCAGCTGGTATTTGAGAAGAACCTCACTCATTTACAATGCCTCTAGAGGACTGTTTTTGTTAACCTAAATATAAGGAAATTCTGTTCCTGTGAAGTCTAGTTCAGGCAAAGAACTCCGAAAACAATATTTCATAGGTACAGGGACTGGAAGTATAAAAATAAAAACTTAGGGGGGTAAGAAAATTTCAGACAAACCCATTTTACTGAGGTATTATTTACCAGAATGATAAAACCATGGTCCACAATACATTAAATGATCGAATTATGAAAACCTTTGATAGGTACAAGTAGGAGATTGTGACATTGAAGATTCATTCTTTTGCGTATCTGTGTTTAATAAACGATGGAGATAAGTTTAAAAAATGGTGAGTTTTATATTGATGAGTATGTATTTGTTTTGGTTTCTGAAAATTTGGACGTAATAAGCAACTGAGTTTATTAACCAGTGAGTTTACTAAATTTGAATATATTGTATTTAAATTTTCATTACATGCTGCAGCAAGCTGTGACTTTTCTTAAAATTTACTGGTCCATGAGCTTATGCTAGTTTCCAGATCTCATTTATACATGTTTCGTTAAACCTAGCAATATATTTAGAGATCACATCACTGCTATTGATTTTTTAATCCCCCATGATTATTAGCCAGAATGTAAATGCAATGTTGTATAAGAAGTGCTTATTTTCCTAATAATTAAAATAAATATTTTGGCATACACTGGTAGTTTTTATTTTTATACTTTTTCATGAGATGATCTATTATATGATGAATGCATATTGTTATATATTTTCAAATATAAAAGGCTTGCAAAGAAATGAGTTCTCTATTATTTTATTCTAGTTTAGTTAGGACAAATATATTTCATATTCTTTTTTTTTTTATATAACTTTTCTTGATTCAAAATTGAATTGATATTTTTTTAAAAAACATTGATACTGAGGTGGATGTTTTTATACTACCTCTACATAATTTTCTAAAGAAAGATTGCAATGTGTTAAGGAGTGTCTCTTCCATAATCTTTTAGTTCAGTGTCCTTGATACATCAGGATTTTTCTGTGGTGTTCATGAGGGAAACTGTGTGTTATGATGCCAATGCTTAATAGGTTGAGTTCTGTAAATTATATGGGAAGGTTTCAAGAATAAAATAAATGTCTTGTTATGCAAACATATAACTGAACATTTAATTTGAAAGAAGTATATATATGAGAAAACTTTGCTTTTCTTACCAAAATATATGTCTTTCACCATGAAAAAAATATATCATTTAAAAAAGTTAGAGTGCATAATATTATTAAGAAAAATATTATGCTCCTAGCAGATTTATTGTTCAAGAAACATATAAACTGAAAAATTAAATATATGTTTTTCCTTTTAAATGCTTGGGAAGTTTAGTTCTATTTGTGTTACATCAACTTGCAATTTGAATTTTTTCTCCTTATACCCGAAGTTCCTTGCTTTGTTGTTATTTAAAAAAGTGTTACTTCATACATAGATAAAAACATCTTATAGCAATTTTTTCATCTTAACCTTTTAATTTTTTTTTTTTTTTTTTTTTTTTTTTTTTTTAAGGATTGTTCAGCATGTGCTATTCAAGAAGTTTTACGCTACTACAAATGTTCTAATGAAAAAGGTTCTAGTGGAAATCATCTATGGAATAAGTTTCCACCTGACATTCAAGAAATTCTGGTTGTTTTATTCCATTCCCAGTAAGAAATTAATTACTATATTTTTTGAAATAGAGACAACCAAGTTTTGTAAATAACAAATAAATATGGTGTTAGAGTCTTAAATTTCATTTTGGTATATATACACTAAGTCTTGAGAAGTATAACAGAGATGTTCTAAGGGTGTAAAGGACCCTTTTATTAAGAAGTCGGTGAGTTGAATAGAAGGCACTACTGTTGCTTACAAATTAGACAGCATTATGGCATGAAAGCAGAATTTTAAATTAATAAAAAATTAATAAAATCTAAGTCTTTATTAACAAAGGCTATGCAGAGATATTTAAACCTGCAGATTGGCTGATAACCTGCATTGGCATGACAGCACTATCTGCAAGAATAAAGAAATGCTGTAGACAGTAATGCTTATTGTAGAGTAACAGCTAGTAACATGGCCTTCAGCAGGTAGAACAAACTTTGACTCAAACAATCCCAAACCCTCACTTAAATACACATGATCAAATTTGCATTCTGGCAGGATAATGGAGAGAGAGAAGTAACAATATAGATTCTGAACATAAAATAACTGGCTAGTTAACATAAATACCTTTCAGTCGATTTAAATTTCATTCGATGTGCGTACTTAAAAGTTTTTTAATAAGTATTTTTAATTAGTTTTTCTTTGAATATAATTAAATAGACTGTGATTAAGGATTAAAAATACAACAAGTAATATAATAAAGCAATTAATAGCTATTTTATTAGTTTCATGGTATAAAGGTTTTATAGGCTAATTTTCTATGGAGTGGAAGGGGAATATACATGTTTTGCATAATTTTCATTGTAATGCATGTTTTCTTTTAAATATTCAAATATCAGATTATGTTGGACCTATTGGGGGCTTAACCTAATACTTAATTCAACTGCAAATTAGGTGTTACTTGAATGCTGTTGGATAAGTTTTCAACAAGAATAACTGAGGTTTAAAAGCAAATAGACACAATTACTAATTTTTTAATGTAAATTAATTCTGCCTCACCTCTTAAAAGGGATAAAGTAAAATGTATGAAGTAAAATTGACAGTCATCTTAAGTTAGCAGTAAATTAAAAATCCCTTTAATTCTTTTGGAAAGTTACAAAGCTAAATACCTCTAAAAGAAGCTAGAAATTCAGATCAACAACTAACAAGTATTCAAAATCTTAAATTACCAAACAAATATGCCTTGAGTAGCTTATTTTTATGCAATGAGCAGCTCTTCCCCAAGTGACAAGCTAGATGGCAGGGCAGCCAGTATTTATCCAAACTCTATACTAAACTGCTTCCCACTCAAATCTGCATAATCCCTGGAAGGAATGAGGCAATATGAAACATGTAAATCAAAAACAACTTGGTTAGTGATACTCGAACATTATACTGCAATATTGTATGCTTATTAAAGAAACATCTGCTGAAAATCTGTAAATGACTTATTCAATGGTGTGTTTGCCAAAGCTGCATTTTCAGTAATCAACTTTTATAAAACATGAAGGATAAGTCACATGTTTGTAGCTTTTCAGATCTCTTAATAGTAGGTTAAGGGTTTTTCTACAGATGCAGTAAAACATTTCAAAATCATAAAAACAACCTTGTATTTAGTGTAAGTATATTGTAACACTCAATCGATTTCGAGTGCAGCTAAAGGTCCCTCCTCATCAGGAGAAAGAAATACCTGGAAAGAAGAAAATAGGAGAAAGAGTCTCAGAAACACGGGGTCCTTATCCGCACTGCACGTGGTTATAACTGGATTTTTAATCAGAGTTGCACTGGCCGCCTACTTTTACTGAGCCAGGCTATCTGATCAAGCATAAAGGACAGAAAAATTCGCAAAGTTAAAAATAGGAAGCGAGGGGCAAATGCACCTTCACGCTCAAAGTCTGAACTTCAAATAATGAATTGGCTTCAATAATGAATTGGAAATTCAAATAATGAATTGGAACTTCAAATAATGAATTGGAACTTCAAATAATGAACTTTTTGCCCCTCGCTTCTTATTTTTAACTTCGCGAATTTTTCTTGTCCTTTATGCTTGATCAGATAGCCTGACTCGGTAAAAGTAGGCGGCCAGTGCAACTCTGATTAAAAATCCAGTTATAACCACGTGCAGTGCTGATAAGGACCACGTGTTTCTGAGACTCTTTCCCCTTTATTTTCCTCTTTCCAGGTATTTCTTTCTCCTGAGGAGGGACCTTTAGCTGCCCTTGAAATCGATTGAGTGTTACAATATACTTGCGCTAAATACAAGGTTGTTTTTACGATTTTGATTGTCACATTAGCGTGTTTCTCTTCTAGTGTAGTAAAACATTTCTTAAAGCATAGTGCCTGTTTCTTTAATCCTATAAGAAAACAGTAAGGTGCTGAATGTATCACTCGCAGAAATATTTAAATTATAAATAAACATTAGGGAAGCAACTTAAATTTAAAAATTAGAAATTTAGATTGGCATATATTTTAATAAGATGCTTCATATATATAAAGAGAATCTGATGTGGGCCTGACTGATCATACTTGCTGAGTGTCTGTAGCCACATAACATACTATTTGCTATCATGATGGTTGTCATTGAGAAACTTTTCAATTACTCTTTTTGGTCATCCACAATGCTTATGTATCTTCTTTTTTAACATAATTTAATTGTTATTATATTTAGTTTTTTGAATTTGTTTTGCAAAGACTATATTAATAAATGAGTACATGAAGCTATACTTGATATAAAACCATATATAGAGCACTACTTACAAACCACTTTCTTAATGGATTGTACAGCAGATATTCCTCTGTAACTTAAAATTTAACATCTTGCATATCTGTTCTTTAGAACTAAAATTCATTAATTTTTTTAATAGTCTGAAGGTAATGATGAAGGATTTCTAATCAGTAATGTTGTTTTCTAGATACAAACCTTTAATCAGATCCAGGAAAAAATTCCCTGTTCCTCTATATCAAAGCAAAATGGGTAGCACATTTAAGGACTGGACAAAAAATTGGTTTTATAGTCTCCTTCAAAAGGTATTTATAATATCTATATATATATTTCATTTCTGTATTAAGGATGAAGCATCCAAGCTTTGCAGCATTTAACTCTTGAATGACTGTGAGTAAAGCTAGCTAGCCTTTGAGGCATTATAATATGCACAGATGAATTCCTCACTTCATTTAACTCTCCCTACTAGAATACAAATATTTAAAAATCCAATCTGCCTCAATGGGTACATTTTGTTTCTAAAAATGATTTTGCTTCAGGAAATTATTCACCAATCTTTGGGTAGCGTTTGAGAAATAATTTCCTGAAAATAACTGAATTTTAGTGAATATACTGGTAGGTGTTGTCATGAGTGCTGCATAACTAAAGAGAATATTATTTATTCTTCATCTAGGTTTTCCTCATTTCATATGTCATTGGTAATTTGGTATTAAAATTGCTTGTCTGAAATAAGCATTTAATAAATTTTAATTAGTTAAAACATCAAATAATTAATCTAATTCAGGGAAAGAATAAATTTTGGGAAATAATTAAGAGGGATTTGGGTTGGGAAATAATTGAAAATTTTAATATGCCCAGGTTCAGAAGAGGAAAGAAATGAACAAAATTATTTCAGCGGAATTACTAATTGACCTTCATCTTAAAGCCGGTTCCATTTTATAGACATTGCAAGTATAAAAAGGCAAATATGTTTTTAAGAAATCTAGAATGTAGTTTCCTTTAAAAAAATAGTGCCATTGGGAACTGAATATCGGTTGTTAAAACAACTGTGTAAAAAAAAGGTGTCATTTTCTAGTAACTACTACGGTAGGATAAAGTGCATGTATTCTGTGCTCAAGCTTGAATCCAGTATCTCTTGTTCATTGTAGTTATTGAAATTTCATGCTAGTTAATATAGTTAAAATCTCTACCTCATAATACATACATTTTAATTAATATCTCTGTCTTGTAAAACTGAATGTTTCCACTGAATTTTGAAAATACTTTCAAAGGTTGATGTTCAGACTCTTACTTTGAGAAGCAACTATCCTTTACTGTATTCATGGGTGTAATTTCTTTGATTATTTGTAGGAATAAAATTATTTTGTCTTGGAGAAAATAATAATAATTATGGATGAATTATATGTCTATAGCAATATCATAATTTAAAACATGCTTACTTTTTAGGTGAAAAAAGACAATCCTGTCAAACTGTTTAATTCTTGTTCTGTTATTATCAAGTATGATCTAAACTGTACTCTATTTTTGTTGCCTCGTCTTGTTATCTATGCTCTCTTGGATTCAACTGAGAATGAAAGTAATGAAGTTAGTATTAAATTTTTTACCCCTCTAGTATAATTTTATTTTTCATTAAATACTGAAAATTGAAAAACAAAATTATATTCTTTTGTGATACAGTGTTTTCAGTAATAAGTGAAAAATAAACTACAGTTTTGTCTTCCTTGTAGTAAATTGATCTGTTTAATGTAATTAAATATTTAATTGGCTTTAAATAATGCATAAATTAAATACAATTAAATTTGTAATGGAATTATTGTAGTTAGGTTTTTCTGATGATTTGTGTTCTTGTTATTTAGTTTGAAGCAAAAGACATAGTAGCATGTTGCATAAATAGGGCTTTGCTAAAATTTCAATGTGTTCATGCATTAAAAGAATATTTAATGCATGAATCAAGTAGGTGAATTCTTTGTTATAAAACAACATTATGGATGTCTGTATTATCATAGGAAATAATATGATTTATACTTTTTACATGAGTGTTTTTCAATATTACTGGAATTTTTAATCTCTTAATTTGGATTATATCTCTGATTATGTTCAATTTTATTTGTAGCCTGAGAAATCTCTTTATGTATAAATATCTTCTACATCATTTCAAGCTGTAATTTGTACATTAAAATTTCCATTTTTTTTTTTCAAATTCTTATTTAATATACCAATTTATATTTCCTATAAAATCTTAAATTCAGCAAATTAATAGTGATCTGGTTTCTGAATATTTGTTGCTCTGACTAATTTTTGTGTCTTAAATGATTGTTTGTGTTGCTTTCTACCATAAGCACTAGAAAGCCATATATGAATTAGGAGTGATTTATGTTCCATAGTAAATGTTGTGTTAAAATAGTGTTGAGTCAAGTACAGTACGAGCATGCCACAGTGTACAGCCTGTAAGTATTGAAAAATATAAGAGTAATTAATAGTAAAAAAGAAAAATTTGAAATAAGCTATTCTCAGTTGTGGTTTGGACCTATAATGAGGCAACATGGGAAGTATAGATTAAGTAATTAAATAATAAATATTTGCATTTAAGCAAAACAATATTTGAAATCGCATAAATGAAATTTCATGTGGTTGCATCAGTGAGATATGTAATGAATGCCAAATTAAATATTTTTACCTTGATTGACAACTCATTTTATTGAGAAAAGGATTAATTTTTTTGTTCATGAACATATTTTATTTGTTCATGAATTGCAATGTCTTTTATGTACGATTTATGTTTGTAAGAATGTTTTACAATGTGTTGTTTTGAAGTTCACGTAAATTTCTTAAAAGTGTTTATTAGCATATATTACACTCTTTTTTTGTCAACTTAAAATGTCACCTCTGCAATGCAAACAATAATTTTATTGCTGTTTTCATGCTTAGAAGGCATTTACAAGTCATTTTGAGTTAAATCATTCAGATTTACCTACAGTTCTTCTTGGACTTCATCTACAAAGCTAAATATTTTCTTTTTCTGTTTCATTTTCATTTTAGTGAAAAGGAATTTCCAGGAATAATAATTAAACTACTTAAACTCACCAGCAGAGGTAAAGTTCTTTTGATGAAAGTTTGCTGAATCAATTTATGAGTTTTGGAGGCATTTTTATTTTTATTACAGAATTAACACATTCTGTTCATATATTTAAAAATATTGTACATAGATTGCACCTACTCTGGTGTTAAAAAATTTTTAGAGAAATGTTAATGCATTTATTCATTAAATTGAATTCGACATAGTTTTCTGATTTAGAAAGGTTGCACATAACATCTTGCAGTACAATAAATAAGAAATATAAAATGGTAGGGGAAGTTTTACACATTTTTGCGAATGTTTATATAACCACTCGTATTTTAGCTTAAGAGTCATTTAGCATTTGTTTCCAATGTTTCAGTGGAAGATCACGATGAATCATGTAGTAAAGATCAACCAAATGATATTTTTTGAAAAATGTTCTTCACTAATATTATTCTTATTTTGTAGTTCTTTCTGGTTTTTATTACTGTTCAAAATAAAGGCGGGGGACTCAGTATTACATGAAGTTTCCATATTCACAAAATCCTAAACAACTATTGAATGTGCTCCTAGATTTACAAAAGGAAATATCGAGAGTTAAAATATATATCTAATTTTGAAAATTCAGTGTTTGAAGCAAAAACAGTTGTTTATCTTAAATAAGCAAATTATTAAACAGAATCTTTTTTATATTTAAGTACAAGGTCTTACTGATATTACATAATTCTTATCATATTTAATTAATTTATTTAACCTAATCATATTTAATTAATAATGAAGCGTGAATGGAGGATAGAATCTCTCTTATTTTATTTGAATGAAAAGTAAGAAGTAAATATTTTTCTTAGCCTTAATCATTATTTTGCCTTGTTTGTGTTTTGCATATTTGTCCTTTTAATAAAATTATGTGCATTCTCTTTGTGTTTTTTACGTATGTTATTTGATGACTGACTGTTGCATGAATGAAGTACTAGTGGCTCATTCTATATCTAATCTACAATTGCAAACTTAAAATTAGTTTGTGTGAACTAAAAATTGTAAAATGCTTAGTTTACTTTCATTTATTTGTTTAATATTTTAGTGTACCATAATGCTGAAAATCAGTATATTTTTGCACTTATCATTTGTTTTACGAACTTACTAATTTTAGTGTAGTCTCTTCATGTAATTCAGTGTTAACTGTAAATGTGAGTGATATTGCTCTTTATTATCAAGTGTATTTGGTTTTATATTATTTTTTTTTTTCATGTATGGTAAAATAACAATATAAATGCAAAAATGTTATAGAAAATATTAATTTCGCCTTTCCAACCTGTAAGTTAAAGTTAATTAAGATACCTGGGTCTAAAAAATGACTTTTATTTTTGTCTAAATTAGGGATATGTAAATAACAACTATAAAATTGTTCAAGCTTTATATAGATTTTATTATTTTTAAGGAAATTTTGACTTTATTCAGAACTTTCTTATTTAATGCCTCTATTTTATAACTTATTTTCAGCAAAACTGTGTGTTAACTTCCATTTTTGTAATGAATTTGAAATGAATGTTTTTTCAGATATGCAATGAAATTTTGACAGTTTTGAGTCACAGTGAGCAATCATCTTCTATGAATGATTTATGCCACTTGAGTTCACAGATAATTTTTTCAGTTTTTGATTATTTAACCAAGTGGATGCACAACAAGCAGCAAGAACTGATGTCAAATAAAAGTATGTATTGTTTTGATAAGAAATCTTATGTATACAATGCTGTTCAAACTAGTTGCAGCACTATGCCTGAGTCACCTATTCAATGTGTTATTTGTATTATTTTATATTAATTATTAAGGAAAGTGCGATAGGTCCACTAAATGACATGTTAGAACTAATTTACTCTCAAATTCAATTTTACTGATCAATAACTTATTACAACACACTTTTTAAAAACTTTAAATTAATTTCAACTATAATTTAACAGTGGGGGCCAGTTGCAGGTGTGTAGACTGCATGTGGCAAATGAGGTAGCGTATTTCATTTTATTATTGACCATGAACTTCCTGAAAAATATGTATTTTCAGACTGTTATCTTGATGCAGTACAATATGTACTTTTGTCTGATAAAGCGTGTATAGATTTCTGATAGCACATTGTTATTTATATTTCTGGTAACATGTAGTTGAAAACTGATTTTGGTAGATGGTTTGCTTTGCATAAAAGTTAACAGTATTCTCGCTAATTAATACTACATATTAAGCCTTAAACTTTAAGAACACAAATATATAAAATACATTGAAAAACATTCAATATGTATATAATTCCATGGTCTGTAGACAGAATAAGCATTGGCCAGGCTCCAGGACAGAATAAGCAAATGATTAAAAGTTTTAAGGCTAATTTCTGAATAGTAACTCACAGCAATAAAGGGAAACACATATCAGAAGGAGTATAAAAGATAAAGCTATATTATACTGCAGATTATGAATCCCTATAAAAGTTAAGGAGGCATTAACACTATATCTCAGTATGCACAAATAAATGAGAGAGGCTAGAAGAGACCAGTTTGTCCAATTGTGTCATTCATAACATGAACTGAAGTGAATCATTGATGCCAAAATTTCATAAAATGCATAGTAGTGACAAAAATTCATTGGAGAGCATGTAGAGTAATAGTATTTCTTAACAAAATTCTCATGATAAATCTCATTAGTAAAACCATTAGCATTGTTTTTAAACATCCATGGCCATGTAATGCCATCACTATGTATGGATGTATTCATCTGAGCTGTGATGACGATTTTGTTTGGTATTGAGTTCTAAAAGGCTACTCTACTAATGACTAGCCAACATTGCTGGTACATTGCAGCATTATCTATCAAAGTCTAATGGGAATAAATTCAGTTAGGTATACAGTGTTTCAATGCTGAAATACTTTTCACATTGGACTCAGTTGATCTGCACTCTGCTGATTTGTAGACATCTATTTTCCTAGAAATTTAATCCATTTATTGACCAGTTTTATGCATTGAAAAAATACTAATTTCCCTTGTACATAATATCAACACATAGTGGAATATGTGAACTTTTAAGCAGGAAATTTCGTGAATGATTTTCCAAGTTGGCACCTGAAGAAAACCATATCTATAAATAAAATAAAAAAAGGGACTAAAGCCTGATCCTTGAAGATGAACATTCTTTATTCTGAATGAAGCAGAGATGAATTCAGATATTCTCACTTGCTCACTGAGATAGATTGTACCTTCTAAAAGCCAGGATTGTTTGTTTCTTGAACAGGAATTAGTAAAATTAAAAATTGCGGTAGTAAAAGTAGGCAAAACGAGCTTCTAGTGTTTTCGGCAGCATGTGATCTTAACTTTAAAATTAAACTAATACTTGCACATAACCTAAGACCTGGAAGATGATAATTGCAAAGAAGTGTTGTAGATACCTGCAAGAATAGAAATATCTTTATAGGGGAAATATTTGAGCTTATTCCTTGTATGAAAGCTAAGCTTTCATGCCACTGATGCTCTTAAGAATTTATTTGGCTTCTTGTAGATTCATGAGTTGGATGATGTAATAAAGAGGTAGGCAGTTTGCGGAGCTTCGGATGTAGCTTCCGACTTTGTTTAGACATTCTGTTAGGAAATTTTTTAATGTGAACCATTTAGAAAAATGCTTTTGCAAGTATCTGTTCCTTTTCAGTTCCTAAAAACTTCAATTTAAGAATTTTGGTCAATGAATTTGAATGTTTACTTATCCCACCAGATGTGATTTGTTAAATTTAGTAAAGTAACACTGATAATAAACAAAATCGACCATCTGAGTATTTTGCTAATTTGAACAGCATTATAAAGCCTGTGATTTTATTTTTACAGTTTACATCATTTTTTAATTTTCATTTGTATTAATAGGGGCCAAAATGTCTCAAGATGCAAGTATCAATATTGTGAATAATTTTTTATCCAGAATTCCACAAATACTTTTAGCAAAAGCATCTTTTTCTTGTGAAGCATATGCAAGAGCTCTTATGCATTTAGAGCAGCATTTAAAAGAACATTCAGATGAATTAAACAATAATATTAGTTTCCTTCAGGTAAGTGCTCATCATATGTAAATAAATACTCATGTTGAACTATTTAGTAGAATAAGTATTTGCTAAACAATGACCAACAGTATTTTGATTAAACTGACAGTAATAAAAAATATTGGAGACCTAGTAAAAGTTGTATTTCACTGCTCCAAAAAATTATTGTTATATTATTATTTTTTAGAAAATTTATTCTGCTTTGAATGAACCAGACGGAGTTGCAGGAGTAGCTGCTATAAGAAAAGATGAGCCTAGTTTAATGGACTTAATACTAGAAAATGAAGCAACTGGTTAGTTCAAATAGTCCAAGTACTTTTAAATTTAATATATATATTTTTCAGTCTTTAGCATTTTTCTACAAACTTTCATTAAATAATTATTTATTCCTTCGACAGTAGTGTAAGGACACATTTTAATGTATGATTACTTTTTTTAGTGTTGTATGAAATGTAAGAACACTTTGAATTAAGCTTTGTAACAGCTTTGTTTGTTTGTAACTCTAAATAGTATGTATGTATTATATGCATCTGCACATATAGGTGACTGACATTGTTTTTAACTTTTGTATGATAGCCAGTCCTACTGTAGTGTCCCATAAGATCCATTTTTCATTAATGTAATTGAATTTTCCTCTCAGTGTAACAATCTGTTTGACAAAAATTGTTATAAAGACTTTCTTGAATGCACAAATAAGATAAAGAAACCAATTTCTATGAACAAATCATTCGTTTTCTTTCTTAAGGTCATAAATTTGCAAATTTAACTGTAATTGTGCTCAGATGTTTCCCACTGCATATATCCCAAAATTATTTAAATGATTTTATGCCATGCTAAGTTTTAACTTTCATAAAAGTTAAACAGTAGCATAAGGGTCTAAAGGATTCATCTTTTGTTCCATGTTGAGCTGAGTAATACCTCTTTAACATCTAGTTTTCACATGCATTCTCTATAGATGTAGCAAATTTCTTTAAGCTGGGTGGATTTCTGACTGTTAAATCTTTTTTATTGTTATTGATTATTTATTCATTGTCTGCCATTATTTTTTCAATTTTACGAAAATTGTCATTTTCTACATCAATCCCTCCCTCTGTTCTACTGACATTTGTTTGTAAACATCAACAATGTTTCCATTACCAAAAATTAAGCACTTTGATTTATCAGTTAATACCGAATTCATGATTTTAGAATCCATAGGAAGCAAATTGCTTCTAAGGCGAAAATTTCCAAAGTTTCAAAAAATACATTAGTACAATTATTAAAAATAGGAATCTGATCATAAATCTAATGGTTGCTTTGTTAACTGAGATAGCAAAACACGTGAAAAACTCTTTGTTTCAGAAGGGTGGTGATACACTTGAGTAACCTGGAAAACTTCAACTTATGGGATTGTTACAATTCATTAAATTTGACAGTTGATTAAATTCTTACAATTGATATGCAGAGAATTTTACCAAATATGATTTAACTGCATGTTAACTGAATTCTCAACAAATCAATACAAATGATTATTCAATAAAAGTGTAGTGAAGGGCATCTGAACATAACAGATAAATAGTGCAATAAATGAACCTGAAGTGCTGCTGAGAAAGTTCAGACTTTTCATAAATTAAATGAAAAAATAAAAGTTTCTGTACACAAAATTTTAGTAATTATAATTTTATTGATTTGATAGTTAATTTAATCTTTATCCCAAACATATAAATAATTTAACTTGCAGTAGTTATCAATATATTTGTAGTTAATTTCTTTACCAATTTTCAAGTACCTTTACCAATTTTTCATATGATAATCATTTAGTAAAGCATCCCTTTTTCATTAGTTCTGTGAGAGTTGTTATATCATATGTTGGCTATATGAATAAATGAGCATTTTAAAAATTATGTATCTTTTTATGGTGGTATTTGGTAATTTATTTATGGAGAATTCCAAAATGTTCTTGATATTGTTACTGAACTGCTTCTGTTGAATGTGTGTACCATAATTTTCTCTAGTTTGCCCACTAGTGGCTGAACAATTAAAATTTCTGAGCACTCTTTGTTCATATTCTATCATTAGTTGGCTACCTGACATTTTTGTGGTTTTCCCCATGTGTTATGGGGATATAAGGTGGTTTCCCTTAAAAAGTCTTTGAATAAGGCAATGTTTTTTCCTTTGCCTTAATCAAAAAATCTAATCATTATCTAGTTTGTTCAGACAAGATCACTACATTTGAATATGTTATTGCTTTATAACTAACTATAAGATTGAGAATTTCTTTAGTCTGGGTAATGGAATTTCAATATGTAAGTGGTGTTTTTTCATTGAGAAAGCTTTTGTACCTTATTGAAGTTGGCATTAAATAGGAAAGAAATTTGTTGCCCAATGAAATAAGTATATATTGTACAAAATTCCAAAAAGTACTCTGAGCAAGCATAAATGTTTCATTTATTTGTTATTTTACTTAATAACAATAATTAATTCATTGATGTAAATATAATGTACATTATCATTATGATAATAAATTAACTTGATTTAATATATGGACACACCAATCATTAAAGCCTGAGGCAGTGTATTTTTACAAGAATGAAGAATGTTAAATAAAGCTAGTGTTATTTTCAAATAATGCTGAAACTGTTTACTGCTGATACAAAAGCAAAAGTATAACTTCTAATCTAGCATGCTGCTAATGTGTACAAGAATACTCTTTTTTACTTCTTTATACAAAGTAAAGGAAGTATTGTAATTGGGAAAAATTTTGAATATCATGTTTCAATGAAAATATCTATTTTGACTATTCCCAAATTGATTTCGACTATTTTTTTTTGCTTGATGTCTGTATGTACAGATAGAATAAAGGACTCTTTTTCCCAAAATATATTCAAAAGTGGTTTTTTTATGGCTTCTGTGTATTTGTAAGTATCTTGCATAACTCGAAAACGATTAGCCAAAGAATATTGAACTTTTATGTATGGGACTCTTATAATATCTGGTTGTGAGCCTCTGTGTTTGTCATATGTGTATTTGTCATATGAATTCAATTTAAGCATAATTCTGTATTTAGGTGATATGCAAGCTGCTTTCGCTTGTTATGAAAAAGCAATTAAATTATATCCTGATGAAGCTACCTATTATCGAGGTCTTCTGAAATGTTTCCTTGGCATGGATCAGCCATCTACTGCAATCTCATATGCAAATGGTATCTTAAATGATAGGTAAAATATTTTGTGTGGCTCATTTGATATGTAATATATGTTAAGATTAAAATGTCTTCTTTATATAATAATTATTTTGTGTGTGTTCTTTATTTTTTTAAGACCAGAATGGAATGAAAGTTTAAATCAATATAGAGTTGAAGCAGCCTGGAAGTTAGCAAACTGGCAAAGTTTAGAGTCATTTTTGCAAGATGTAAGAAAACTTTCAAGTATTTTCCACTTGATTGCTATTATAATCATGCCACCATATCTTCTGTCTCAGTACCCACAACTTCAATAATAATTTGCAATTCATGGTGCCAAAGAAAATAATAAAATAAAATAAACCCATGCAAGTTAGAAACTTTTGATATGCAAGCTGAGTGACGATGAGCTACAATACTGATTTTGATGCTTTGTTCCCCAAGTTTTACCCTCATACATTTTATTTAAGAAGTGCTTTTCAAATACTAGGTAAAACTGAAATGCAGTATGTTCTAAAAGTGAACTATGATTGTATTTATAAATGTTGAATAAATAGTTATTACTTATATGCTCATTAATGCATAAAATATTTTAATTAATACATGTAAGTACATTTTGGTTGATTTCACTGCATGTACTAAATTTAGTGTTTTTTGGACCTTTTCGATCATGTGATTTAAAATAAGCCCATGCAATTTAAAATAGTTATTGCTTTTGAATTTTTACTTCCTTGTACGAAGTAAAAAGGAAGTATTGTAATCGGGAAAAGCTTCAGGCAGCATATTTCAACGAAAATATCCACTTTGACCAATTTCGAGTGCAACTTAACAATGTTTTTGCCTGATATCTGTACCTAAGGACAGAATAAAAGACTCTTTTCCTCCAAAAAAACTAAAAAACTGCTTTAAAATGAATTCTGAAGAGAATTTTTCATGGCGTCTGTACGAACGTATGTACGTACGTGCGTACGTATCTAGCATAACTCAAAAACGAGTAGCCTCAGAACGGTGAATGGTGAAATTTTGTATATAAGGCTACTATAACATGTAGATGTGCACTTCGTATTTTGGTTTCAATCAGCCGTGTCAAACGTATATAGATATATTATAGATATATCCACTCTGTTACCCGGCTCAGTGATCTCAGTTCTTTACTCTTATATGTTTGTAAATTGTACATTTTTTGCTTAAAAATGATTGAATTATGTTTTTATCTTCCGGTAAGGGTTTTATGCCTTTAGTAAATCTGTATGCAATATTTTTAGAATTATCAACATTTTAAATTTAAGTGCCGCTAAGCCTAATTTGATGGCGGTCATTGCTCTTGTTTACATGTGAAACAGCTGAGTAGCGGATTTGTTGCCAATCTAGAGAAACTTAGCTTCGCAACAACAAACAGGGTTGCCATGCTACCTGGAAAACCAGGGAAACTGGAAAAAGTCAGGGAATTTGGAAATTGACCAAAAAATTCAGGGAAAAGTCAGGGAATTTAAGTGTTTTAGTCAAAATCTGGAAAAGATAATGCCTTCATTTATTATTTAAATCATGCTTAATCCTTTCAGGAATTTTTTCGAGGAAATAAGCATTTAAGATTTACTTCATAATTTTTAATACAGCTATTTTGTATAGTATGTTTGTTTATGTATTTTTGCCTTGTCCCGAAGTGAAAACTGAATTAATTGAATGAGAAATACTCAATCGTCTGTGAAAAACTGTTTCTTTTTTGTTTTGTTTGCTTAATTTCTTTTATACATAGTTCTAGTTTTATTAAGTATTGAATAGAACATGTGGTAACATTAGGCTAATTCTTTAAATGATATAAATTTTGTGCATTCTGATTTATAATATGAACGAAATATAATACTGTTAAGTAAACCTAGCGCCAGAGTGTCGCTATGGTAAACAAAGTAAATTTTAAAGAATATATTTATTCTGTTGTGGTTTATGCACTGTCAGCGAAGTAGGTTTAATTCAATCTAATAAGTTTAAATAAAATGCAAGAAAAAATGCGTATAATTTAGTATTCCGTACAAGGAAGTCGTGGTGTACACATCAGATTTTTTTTATTAGAGCCTGCAAGTCTCATGTCAGAAAGTGTTCCCTTCCCAAAAATCGTGAAATACCCTTCTTAAAAAGAAATTCTTCAGCGGTTGAGAATCCTTGAACTATAACATTGCTGAAATTCAGTAATTCAAATATACATCCTAGCTTTACATCCCATCGTGATGCCATAAATATATTAACGGAGAATTGTACTGTCAGCTGTTGACTTTCATCTTTCTTTGTTTCCATACTCACATTTCTTCATTTTTAGAATTTTCTGTATTCTTATTAGAGTTGCTTTTGAGCTTACTTGTTATGTTTGTTCTTATTACTATGTGTTGCTTACTAATTTATGCCTGTTTCTGTTATTATGTTTCATAATCTGAGGATGCATGGAAAATATTTGTAAAAATTTTCAAAAATATGTATTAATATCTATCATGTAAAATTTGAAATTATCCTAAATTTGTGTGTGTATATATATTTTAAAAACATTCCTGAAGCTTAGTTTATTTAAATTTTATCATGCGATTTAAAAACAATTTCAATGCTACCATCTTCTTTCAGGAAAGTAATAATTCTGATTGGACAACTGGAGTTGGAAACATTCTTTACCTTTCAAATAAAAAGGTAGTATTTGAAGTTGTGTGTGGTGTGGTGGAAAGAATTCTTGTTTTTAATTTTATGTACTTTCTGAAGTTCATATAACTGCTATTGCATATCTCTTTGTCCTAACATTCTCCATTTTTTAAACTTCCAAATCCCCCCCCCAAAAAAATCTTGTTTTAGAATATCAGATTTAAAAGTAATAAATTGAAGTTCCATGTATTGATTTTGTAATGTTTTGTTATTTAAAATGTATATAAAGATATAATAAAATATAGATAAAGAAATGATACATATATATAAACTAATCAAATTTACTTACATGTGCAGGGAAATTAGTCTTTGAGGAATTTTTAAGAACTGATATTAGAAACAAATTGTCAGCTAATTTACTAAATTTCATATACATTCATCAAAATTTAATTTAATAGCTTCTTAAAATATATACTTTTTATAGCATTATTTTTTATTTTACTTAAAGAAAAATATTTTAAAATTTAAAAAATTAATTTTATTTTACATAAAGAACACATTGATTTAAATAATTAAGAGTTAAAAAATGTGACTATACATTAACATAGCTTATATATCTGTTTTCCATGTAATCTTTGGGAAATTCTTTTATTTATAGTTTAATTGTAGTCAACTATCATTATGGTTAATCTTAAGTATAACTTATAAAACAAAACAAATGTTTCAGACATCTCTTTGTTAATAAGATATAAATGAAAATATCTAATTTTCATTTAAGTGTTTTCAAACTTAGATTTTGTAATTTTAGGAGAACATAGTCCTGTAACAGGTTAATGTTAGTCTAACTTACTTGAAAACAGAAGTGCAGTAGTACGAAGGTTGTTATTTATATTTCTGACCTTAGCAACAGTAAGTGTTGCTAGGCTACCGCAGACAATTCCAATTGAAAGTTTGGTATTTTTAGCCATAACTTCTTCAGAACATTTTGCCATTTTAATGTGATTTGTGTTGTTTATAGTAAATTGAAAAATTCATCTTGGACAAAAAATGGAATTGAATTGTGAACATTTTCGTGTGATTATTTTTCATAACTTTGGATGTGGATTATCAAGACTATGCTTCTCTGAACTTAAGACAATGCTTTGCTGAACTTAATTCTTTATGCAGTGTTAAAGCACCATCCTACAGCACTGTAAAATCTGACATAACGAATTCAATTGTAATCAGCGTTCTCTCCAAGATGAATTTTGTGAAGGTATCCAAAATCGGTTGTTGTGCCAGAAAATATTGATGCTTTGTGTGAACTGATAAAGCAAAATTGTCATGTGACATATCGTGATATTGAGGCATTTTTGGGCATTAATATGACAAGCATCAATAATATATTACATGAATATTTGGCTGTAAAAAAAATTTGTTCACGTTGAATCTCGCATAATCCGACAAATGCTCAAAAGAAGGCTTGTGTTGATTGGTGCAAGGAAATGTTGGAAAAATATGTTCAAGGTGCATTATAGGCTGTATATAACATCTACACAGGTGACAAATCATGGATCTATGCATATGAGCCCAAAACAAAATAACAGTCGATTTATGGGTCTTCCAAGACGAGCCAAATCCAACAAAAGTTGTTCATGGAAGAAGCGCATCGAAGCAAATGATTGCCTGTTTCTTCGGCATTACTGATCAAGTGGCGATAATGGGGTTAGAGCAACACAGGACGGTCAATTCTGAATGGCACTTGATCATTTGTTTGCTAGAAGTCATTGGAGAAAATAGAAAAAAAAAAAAAAAACAGAAGAGGTAAGTCATTTTTCATCACAACAATGCAAACTCTCGCACATTGATTCAAACAAAGGAAGTTCTTATGGGCCAAAATATCGAATTGATAGGTCATCTGCTGTACAGCCCTGATTTTGCACACAATGACATTTTATTCTCACACATCTGAAATAAATTACGTGGTCAGTGATTTGCGACACCTGAAAAAGCAGTTGATGTATTAAAAATGCACGTTTGGGAGTTATCTCAAACAGAGTGGAAAAAGTGCTTCAAAAATTGGTTCAAATGTATGCAAAAGTGTATTGATCTTCATGAAGAATATTTTAAAAAACAGTAAAACCAATTTCGATCTTAAACCTTTTTTTTTTTTTCCATTATCAGGCCAGAAATATAAATAGCAGACCTCATATGTAATTTTGTTCATAAAGATGGGAATTGTAGAATAATTTATTGTTTAAGATTAATACACACTATCAAATTCAATGCACATTTTAGAATAGTTACTGTTATGGAATTTCATTAGTATTATTATGATATATTTAATTCCTAAATATTTATTTAAACAAACGTTTAGTATGCTTAATGTTTGTTACATATTTTTTTCATACACTCTTTTTTATAAAATTAATAATAAAATACCTTCAATTTTATATTATATCAGCTTTACATATTTTTTTTTAATTTGGCTGTCGTCATTGTTTAAATTTGATATGTAATTTTAAAGGTGTGTATTTGCCTTATTTTGTAGATGGATTCTTGCAATTGTTTTTTTTATCAGATTATTTATATACTGAAATAAGTTTTCTTAATTGTATTTCTTTTTAAAGGACATGAAAGGTTTTGAGTATCAAGCAAAGTATATCAGAAGTAATCAGATGGCACCATTATCAGCTGCTTCTATGGAAAAAGGATCTTACATAAGAGGTTATGAACATCTCGTAAGGTAATTAACAATCACATACACAAATAAGAATCGGAATCCAAATTTTTCTAATTATTATCTTATGTGTTCTCTGAATGATGAAAAATGCATGCAGTTATGCTTTTATTTCTTAAATATTCCTTTACATATTACTTACTTATCAATCATGTATGCATAATAAATGTGACATTTTTGTTTTGAAAATACAGCTTCCATAATACTCATTATTTGCTATTTTGAATTTAAGTCAAATTTATTGCTATGGTGACTAAGAGATTTTTATCTACTTTCATGTATATTAACACTATTAGATGCTCAAAAGTAGGTTTAGTTATTCTACTAATTATTGTTATTAGGAAATCTAAATTATTAGATGTTAAAAAGTTATCTAATTGCACTAATTGCTTTTGTTTTCTAAATTAGAATGCATATGTTGACTGATTTGCAGCAGAGTGTAAAAGCAATATTCAATTTAATTGAGCATGAAAATAGTTCATCCAAGCATGCTTTGCTTTTTGATGAAATTCTGCCAACTTTGAACTTGAGAAGAAATCTTGTTCAGGTAAAATGATCATAACTTTCTACAAATTCTGTACATTTCTCTGTATCAGTCTGTATTTTGAGATATGTATGCTAAAGTTCAACTGCACTTGTTTCACAGAAAAGACAGTTGTGGTTTGCATTCATAAATTGATGATATTTTTTTTAAATAATATACAGTGGTGGCCAAAATTGCGGACACTTTTGGAAATTTTTATGTTTTTGAACTTTGTATGCTTATAGAAAACATTGCGTTTCACAAAATGCAAACTTGTATATATAATTTTAAAGGGAATTTATTACTGAATTCAATACAAAACACAAAATTCAATTATTTGCAATACAAAAAAAGTTAAACAATAATAGTTATTGATATAAATTAGATAGTGACGGTTACAGTGAGTTATCAGTACTTAGTAGGGTACCCTTTATTTTTTATTACAGCTTCACATCGACGTTTCATTGAGTTGACAAGAGTTTTAAGCTCTTCTTTCATTATTACATGATGCCAGGAAACAATTATAGCCTCAATTAGTTCCCTTTTATTTGATGGGCGCCTCATTCAGACTAGAGTTTTCAAACTTTGCCACAAATTTTCAATAGGATTGAGGTCAGGACTGTTTCCCTGCCATGACAAAAATTTAATGCTCTTTGTACGAAACCACTCTTTCGATATTTTGGCCATGTGGCAAGGAGCAGAATCCTGCTGAAAAATAAACGAAGCATTGTTGGGAAAGAGATCTCTGATGGAAGGTAGAAGTTTTGGTTCTAGAATAGTGTCAAAAGTAGGTTCTCAGTGTCCCATCGATGACATGAAGGCAACCAATACCATCTGCTGACATGCATGACCAAATCATAACACTAACTGGGTTCTTCACAGTTGCTTGAATGCAGTCAGGATGTAGCTCTTCTCCTATTCTACGTCTTACATATTTTCGCCCATCACTGTCGAATAACGATATCTTAGTTTCATCACTCCATATAACTTGTGACCACTGATCATCTGTCCAATTAATGTGTTCCTTTGACCACTGTAGTCCTTTTTTTCGTTGCTGAAAATTAAGATAAGGCTTTTTTCGTGGAATTCTACCTCTCAGTCCAACATCTGTTAATCTTCTCCTGATTGTTCTTGAACTGACAGAAACACCAGCATCATTCAGATCACTTCTGATGGCCGCTGATGACATTTTTCTATCTTGGAGACATAGTCTTTTTATTCTTCTGTCATCAATAGATGTGGTGCACCTTTTTTGGCCTTTTCCTTCTTTGTTTTTTTATTGAATTTGTCTCCTGATATCGTAAACAAAACTTCAGATCCAGATGTAGTCACTGAACCACCCACCTGTCTTGCAATTTCAGCATAGGAAAGACACCTTTCTCGTTAACACAATAATATTACATCTCTTTCTAGGTGTCCAATCTACTCTTTTATTTGATGTCATTGCTTCTTGACTAAATATTAAAAATTTTTACAAAAATTCCTACTTGTAATTGCATTGTATAAGAAACAGGTCCTCCTTCTACAGAACAAAACAAAATAATGAATTGTTTCAAGTGTAAACATGATGTCAGCTTCTACTGGCAGTTACTAACATTTGATTGATTCTCAGAACAAGAACAGTGATTGACCAGGAAAGCTAGACATTACAAACCACTTCATAACTGTGTTTTTTATTTATATTAAAGTACATATAACTTTTTTTGTATTGCAAATAATTGAATTTTGTGTTTTGTATTGAATTCAGTAATAAATTCTCTTTAAAATGTTATATACAAGTTTGCATTTTGCAAAATGTAACATTTTCTATAAGCATACAAAGTTCAAGAACATACAAATTTTCAAAAGTGTCCACAATTTTGGCCACCACTGTTTATTTGAATCATATAGCCTTTCAAACTACATTTTTTAGAAATATTAATGTTCTTAAAAAATAAGCAGTTTCATATGCTATTTCATTTTTGTAATGATCTAGTCAATCTTGTATAATGTTATTTATCTATCTGTTCATTTATTTATAATAAAGCATTCATTTTTATTTGAAATCATTTCTGTTTTTTAAAAATGGGCAAAAAATAAAGAAAATGGTAGTTTTCTTTGTTATATTCATTTAAAGTAGTCCACTTGTAAGTAAGTAAAATTTAATTATTATTTGGGTCATGTTGAAATTATTGACTTAGAAGATTTTAATTTTTATATGACTTATTGATACTGTGAAAATACGCAGCTATTATTAGCAAACTTTTATAGAAGGAAGTTTGTTTTAAAGACTAGATCTTTAAACAAAATGTAATAAAAGAAATATGACAAAAACATGATAAAAGGCATTTTTAAAGTGATTTTGGATTATCATCATGCACCTCCTTAGTGTGAAATTTAAAAACGTATTATCAAGAAGAGTTTATAATATATTAACTAGTTGAGAAGAAGACAAGAAATAAAAATTGTAGAAGAAAAGAACTGTAGATGAAGAAAGATCTCAACAACATTGAGAGATTGGAATAAATTCAGCAGCTGTGTCCATTAAAGATTAGTCCATGAAGTCTGAAAATTAAAGGCTAAGAAAATGTAATTTTCAGAAAGGCTGTGAGCTAGTACTCAATGTGAGTGATTTCCCCCTTCTGATATCTTTTGGTTGTGCTGCCTCAGAAGGTCATTCGACAGCTAAACTGTTGAGATTTGTTTTAACTATAAGGACATATCAATGAGTATCTTCAAAGAAATTTGGTCTTACTGTATTAATGCCATGTCGCATTAACAGAGAATCACTGTAGAATATTTTTCATGCAGGTGGATGGGGAAGTGTCCTGTTATATTTAATTAATCCAGACTGTGTTTTGCAAGTATCACAAAACACAGTCTGGATTATCAGTATCAACGGATCAACTATTAAGCATCACAGATAGTCCATATCAAAGATCCTTTGTAAAAATATGTATTCTGATATGTACTACCCAATGTGAGTCTTCTAAAAATAAAAGTGCATTCTCAATGTCAAGGTGTCCGACAGTCACTTGCTGAAGGTTTTAGAGCCTTTTACATTAACATAGATATCAGACCTTTTTCAGTCACAGCTTGAGTTGTTGAAGTTATTATCTTTTTAACATTGGAAGTATCTGTAATAGTCTTTTCAGCTTTTAGGACCATTATGTTGCAATATTCTAGCACAAGATTTATTATTCATGCAACTTTGCATATTGCCACTGTTTTGCAATATACAGTATTTTGTAATTTAACTTCAGTACAACATCAGATCTTTAATTTCTCTATAAAATTGTTATTGTAGTCATTTAACAGGGTTTATACAGTCCTTAAGAGTCCTTAAAAGTCCTTAAGTTTTTTGAAATCGATTTTTGGTCCTTAAATGTCCTTAATTTTGGCCAAAATCGGCAGCAGGTCCTTAATTTTAATCATATGAAATTTCTGTCTGTTTTTACGACTGCCATTTTGAGTGTGAATTAGCAGTTTGGAGGTATATTTTTGGCGATTCACTGATAAATATGGTTATTTGAATGGGTTATGATTTGTTCCTATTTCTAATATAAATGATGGGATACTCGAGTTTCTGAGCACGAAGTGAAACAAGTATTTCGAAATTATTTCACTTTTTCTAATGAAGAGCTCTTAAACAATTTTTCGCTTTTCGGGATGTGAATTCTTTTATTGAAAGGATCTAAGTTTGGCGACTTATCAACATTTTGGCGATTTTTAAGATCAGTTTCTATTGAAAATTTTAAATTCCAAGAGCTGGGAATTTTTCTACGATTTTTTTAAACACTCTAACATTGATAAATTTCATTAAAATAATGGTATTATATTGAAATTATATTTAAAAAGTAACATATTAATTAAAAAATATCTTTTCAATTTTGCATGATGAGAGTTTTCTCATGTAATTGTCTCAGAGTATTCCGATTTCTCAGAATATGCATCAGTTTTCTCTATAAAATTAATTAATTAATTTCACACTTTTTACGTCTGATTTTTTTTTTTTTTTTTTCTCAAAATATTTCTGGGTGTTTGCTGTTACAGAACTGTAGTTTTTCTTCGGGACATTAGAAATTGCAACTTGGAAAGTTTAGAAGGATTTGAAGGCAATATTTATAGACCCACGATTCCATAAGATTTTAGAAAAATAAGACAAAATGAAAAATGTCGCTATGGTATTAACATGTAATGGATGTATTTTACAGAAAATTTGCAATGAATTTCTTACCTTTTGGATAACATCTGGAAGAACAATGAAAACATAATATTTGAATGTTTTACTTCTGATAGTAGAATCTTTTTCTTAACATGCTTATCTTCCCTTTATTTTCTCTACTTTTCACTAGACACAAGTATGAAAACTATTAAAAATGCTTCTAATCTGATCACATGGACAGGCATTATACAAAGAAATTTTTTGATTAATAAAGAAATTGAAAACTATTGCCTTTCTAAATTCTGCTTCCAATGCCTACTACTAAGTTTTGCCATTTCTACATTTTGTTGCTGGGTGTGTCACTAAATTCTAAAAATTCTGCCATACCAGCTCTGTAACCCGCCCTTACCATATATATTTCATATCTCTTGTGAATAACTAACTAATATAACTAAAGAAATAAAATTAGCAGCCTTTTTCTATACATTTTAAATGCATTTAGTTTTTTTTTTTTTTTTTTTTTTTTTTTTTTTTTTTTTTTAGAATAACATAAATCTTTAATTAAATGCCAAAAATTCTAAAATTAAAAAGAAGCGTGTTGAAGAAAAAAAAACGAATACATACAGAGAAAGAAAATCATTCTTCATATATATATATATCAGGTATTATTATGTAAATTACCCAGTTGTTTGTAATTTCAAGCCTTTACTATAATTTCCCGTTCCCATTTCCTCCTCAGAATGCACATCACTTGGGCAATTTTTAAACTGAGGTTTTTGGTGTGTAAGACAGAATGTGTTTTTAATCTCCACTTGCTCGCTGCATTAGTTTCTGTCAGCTCTGATAATTTGTAACTTTTTGTGTTTGCATTATCGCTGCTGACATTTGAACTTGTTATAACGATAGAGTTACTGAGCCAGTTGAAATTAAAATTAAATTGTATAGTCTTTGACCACTAGTCCACATTTTTTGGTCTGAATTTCATTGTTCTTGTTTAATTACATAATCCCAAACTTTAATTGATTTGGTTAACATAAGATCATACCTTTAAGTTCTTTTTAAATAAGAGGCTTATTTAAACCTTTGTCTGACTTTGTAGTTACTTTGAGACATAACGATAATTTGCTTCACGTCTGTCGGGAGTTTTAGGACTATTTAACTATTACCAGATCAAGTAAACCCTCATAGGTACATTGTGGAGATTTTGACAAGTTAGGAGATAAAGCACGAAACTAGTGAGAAGATTGGTTTGCATATTGAGAGAAATTTCTAATTCTTAGTAAAGATGCTTAAAGAGAAGGAAATCGATATAAATTAGTCAAAATGTCTGGCCAGGCTTCAAATTAAAAAGAAGCATAAATATTTTGTTGAGTGTTGTTGCTATAAAATATAAATGTTTTGTAGCTTTTAATGTATAATTATCCAAATATTGTTTAAGAATCAATGACATAAATTGCATGTATTTTAAAGTGTGAAATTTTATTAGATTGTGATTTTAATAGGGACTCTTAACAATATTGTTAAAAAATAAGTAAAATTTAATGGTGGTCATGTAAATCCATAATGACTAAGGTTATCTAACTATCTAATTTAATTTATAACTAATTGCTTACCCTTAAAAATTATCTCTGCATATTAAAGTGAGTTATTGCATTATTTCTTTGCATGGTACAAGGTAAAACACAAAAATGTAAAAATTCATGTAAAACTTATTATTCGTATCTAGTGAGACCTAAAATAATACAAAGCAGCTTTGTGTCACCTCTGGTGCTTTAGTGGCTTATTGGAACCTTAAAGTATATTAACTGGATTACAACCCCTGGAACTCTACATGGAGCTATGACACCTTAAAGTATATTAACTGGGTTACAACTCCTGGAACTCTACATGGAGCTACGACACTAACTGCAACAGACAGAGCCAACTAACTTTAAAAACTAGCTAACCATGCCCACATCAGGCCTTTCAGTTTGTTCTGGTCTGCAGGTCTCTTTAGGCAAGGAGCAGCGGTGACAACAGTCAGTCTTTTGTTATAAATCATTCTTATTATGATTTTACTTCTCATTTTAACCTATGATGCTTGACATAAATTCTACCTGGCTATTTACTAAACCTCTAGATTGAGCAAGTAATGAGACATAAAAAAAAAAAAAAAAAAAAAAAAAAAAAAAAAAATCCAATATGAAACTATAACTATTAGTAAAACAGAAATAATATGTCACTTATCTTCTTTCAAATATGCTGAACTATTATAAGTGTAAAATATTTAATGCTGTTTGATAAATTTCATAAAGTATATTTTATACTCAAACTTACTAATAATTACGTTAATTAAGTTATGTTTAATAATAATGCATCCTACTTAGGGATCTATTTTATTTTTTGGATGGTATTACAAAAGTAAAGTTCAGGCATAGATAATATTTTTAATTTAATTTATTAATTTGCTATTTGCTCATAGGTCCTTAATTTTTTTCATTAATGGTCTTTAAAAGTCCTTAAAAGTACTTAATTTCTATGTGCAGAAATGTGTACGAACCCTGTTTAAGGAATTTTGTAGGGTTCTTTCTCTGTAAATTAACTCAGTGCTTCCATCCTACTAAGGCTGAAAAGCAAGTTTTTGCTCCATCTGTAAAATTACAACAGAGTCCTAAGAAGGTTTTAAATAACCTTTTTTAAAAAGCTTGAACTTAACAATTGTATCACGTATGCATACAAATTTAAACTCCACCACCTGTAGGTATTAGATATCAGAAAGTTGAAAATTTAATTTTAAATAGATTTATTGCTGGAGTCTACAATACAAAATGGCATAACTAAGTGCAGGCTCAAATTCAGTGTGGACAATTTAACTTCAACTAGCAAAATGACTAATGCCGGGTAGCTAGCATAGCAGAGCTGGGCAAACGAAGAGTGTAATGCTGAGAGTCATTGTCAAAAATTCTATATTCAAAGGTTTAAAAACTTTGACTTAAATAGTTATAACTTATTTGTATCTTGGTGAGACTAATAAAAATAAGTGATAGTAAAGTTCCAAGTCCATAAAAATAGGCTAATTAAAATTAAAACTCTACAAGTTGACAAATTTAAAACAGGTAAATGAATTTCGTACTAATTTTGTATCTTATTTTATTATGTTAATACACATAGTAATTCATCACCGTAAGAATTTGGTGATTGGGTTCTTTCCTTCCCAGTTGCCCTTGAAGTAGGGGAGAATGTAAGGTATTTTCTCTCTTTTTACTATATGCCTTCTTGATATTATTGGAAAACACATCCTGTTCGCAATTGAGAGATCCAGAGTTCAAATCCTTGCGAGAGCATAGCAGATTGTCTCACATTTCCTGAGTTAAAAAAATTCTAAATAACTCTACGGATGTACAAGAATCCTGGTATCCATTGTTCTAAGTCAAAATTGGGATGGAGATTAAACAAATGTCGCTTATGCATTTTTTGCCTAGATTAAACAACTGAATTCACACCAATATACTTTGTGCATTTGTTGATTACATTGTTTTCCCATTGTTATTCCTTATTACATAATACTGTGAGTTGTTAATATTAACTCACTTTATTTTAAAGCTAATATTCATATTGTCCAAATGTAAGTTATAATATTATTATTATCATTTTATTTTTTAGTCCTCACCAAAGTACCAGGAACCTATTTATGACTTGCATCGAGTTCTTCTAAAGATTGGAAAGGAGAAAATGCCTGAATTTTCAAAGAGATTTGATCAGGAAATCGCTAAATGTTGGTTACAAAGTGCCAGACTTTCAAGAAAGTAAAGTTAATTTTATAACACCTACTACAGTCAAAAGTCGTTAATCCGGACTCGTCGGGACTTCGGCGATTCTGGATTATCGATTTTTCCAGGATTATAGATCATCAGTTTAAATCTCAAAAGATGGCATGCAGAAATTCTAAAATTAAAAATATGAAAACGTAATTTATGAAATAAAGAACAATTATGATCTAAAGGGTATCAAAATTAACAAAAAAAAAAAAAGCTTAATATTTATTTGTTTACTTTATTAAACATTTCTTTCAATGTAAGTTGTTTCGTTTTATGTGATAATACTTTCTCTTAAATTCTATAAACAGACATCATTTCTTGTTCAGTTACAAAGTTCCACTGTTCAAGTTCCGTTAATTGCTGTGCCGAGAATACCGACTAACTTGTCAATCGAAATTTTTTTGTTTTCACTAACCTCTCTGTCACCTTCTTCATGTCTTTATCCATTTTTTGCAGCAATTCCACTTTTTGTTTGATGGACACCGAATTATACTTTCGTTTTGTAGATCCTTTGGGAGCTCCAGCATCGGAAATTCTATTTGACATAATCGAAAGTTCAAGTTTACTTTTATAAAATTGCTCTTACAGTCTGCAAAAAATAATAATCCGGATCCAATTCGAAGATTAAGGAACAACGCAATTATCAATATTAACTGAAATAGATAATTAGATAATTTTAGCTTATACCGTCCGTTATACATAAAACATATTCTGCGCTTGCGTACACGCATATGCGCAGTCGTAAAGGTCTTACGTGCACGCGTAAAGGCTTATGTGCATGTGTTAACGCGGCGCATGTGCAGAAAGTTTTTAGCTTTGAGGTCCGGATTATGGGTGTCTGAATTAACGACTTTTGACTGTATTATTAAATACACTTTTAAGTATATTTTATTGCTTTTATTTGATTGAAAGCACTGAATAAGCTTGCTAAATAGTAATCCACTATAAATTTTTGACGCAATTTTGGTGCATAAAATACTGTGTGCTAATTTTTTAACTTGATTTTCATATAAAAGAAGTTCTTAACACTAGAACTACAACAGTGATCAGATTAGAACCATTCATCTTCCAATTTTCGGTTTAACATGCTAATACCCTTGCTACAACAGCCCATGCCAAAGAATATAATAATTCCTTATAGCGTGATTATTCCTAAAATTTCTCAATAATGTAAAATTTCAAAAAGAAATGAGTTTTAAGTTTGAATTTATAAGCATCTACACCTCAAATTATTATAATTAGCTTAATCACTTATCAGTATATTGCTGAAAACTTATGAAATCAATTTGTTCAGTTAAAATAATTTTTGTAATATGAAAGAAAATAATAATTTTTTCCAAACAGCTACGAACATCATATATAAGAAAAGGAACATGAAATCTCGTTTTTAATAAGTATAAATGATCTTGATGGATCTTTTACTGGTGTGGTAGAGAAAATCTTTGTAAATAAAATGTTTATCTCATTATGCTTTCGGGTGGAATTGCATCTGACATTTGTAAATTGGAAAAGGAAGTATATACAGAATGATTTTGTAATTAGAAAAGATGTGCTTTTTGCAAAAGTGGAAGTTTTTCAGATATGTTATAAAATTTGCAATCATTTTCTCAATCAATACAGGTTGAAATATCAATACTGATAAATTTTTCTTTATTTCCCTGACTTTTGAAGAAAATTTAAAACCAAAGAACCAAGCTTAGTCATAGTAATTATTCATTCAAGAAGGTAAATTTTAAACTTTTCTTTCACTCTGTGAATGCTGTAAAAATTTCTGATTCTACATTGGCAGTATCAAGGAATTTCATTATTATCAATCTGTTCATTTTACATTAATTCCTGCAGATTAAATTCTGCCACAGATATTTCCCTGCACTTATAATGTAGCAATAAAAATTGCTATATTAAGATTTTTTGACCTTATGATCTAGTAGCCTATTAATGTAAACTCCTTTCTATTCATTTTTATCTTTAGTGTTGTATTTTTGTTAAGGGAGGGACTCATAAAAATAAAAACACAAAATATCTGTATTCTTCTTAGTTCAGTGGTTAGCAAATTAGACTGTTGACTGCCAACAGTCCAAGGATTGAATCTCACTAATCACTGTTAATTTTTACAAGTTTTTAATATTCATAAAATATTTAATATTTTTCTTCTTAAACTTTCTCAAGTCTTGTGACTTCCTCTTTGACTTCTTCTAAACATTGATCAATTTGAGTTTTTTGTTCTAGTAGCAATAAATGAATTATTTGCCGAAAAAGTATTCAGTATTGAAGCTTAGCTTTAAAAGCTATCAAGAATCAAATTGATGAAGCAAGGAAGGCAGGAGGGAATCAAATATGTAAACAGCATGAATAATCTACTGAGTACTTCACAAGGTATAGGAAAAGAAATCATTCAATATCTTTTCAGTGGAAAAATATTTTTATTTCATATTTTCAGGATTGACACTTGAGAATAAAGGAAATTAAAGAATGAGTTTCTCAAAATGTTTGCCATCTGAGGAGACAATGAAACAATGTCTCTGCTCGAAACTCATGATAATCTGTTGGAATCAACCTATAGACTTGATCTTTAATATATCCCCATAAAAAGAAATCTAGCGGTAATAAGTCAGGGCTATAGGGCAGCTAAAAAAAGTACATTGCCAAAGCAATTTGGGAAGCCTCTTGCAATGACATGTTTGTCATGGTAACTGCTGAGTCCAGGACATTTCCTGTTAAATATAGAGGGGCTCCATCCTGCTGAAACCATGTATCTTGGATCCTCTGTCTATTGTAGTCATCAGGAATGAAACTTGTTCTCAGTAAGTTGAGATAGTGTTCAGAATTCACTGTCTGGACAACAAAATACAGATCCAAAATGCCATCAGCACTCAAGCAACACTAAACAGTGACTTTTTATGAATGGACAGGCTTGATAATGATAGATTCTGGCTTATCCGTGCCCTAAATCCAATAATTTTGACAATGGATGTAGCCATCCATACAGAAGTGTTAATCATCAGAAAAAATGGTATCAGTACAGTTGAAATCAATGTTGTTCATTTGCACATGATGTTGGCAAACTCAAGTCTTTATTCAATAGAATCTTAGGCCAAAATGTTCTCCTGAGTTTTGTGAGAGAAAATGTCAAGATCTTTGCAGGCTGTTCTCCTTGCTGTGGCTGTATTGACATTAAGTGCCAAATTAATATTTATGACTTTTATTCCATAATTGTTTTGACAGCAGTGATATTTTAAGGCATACTTACTATCTTTAATTTGTTCTTCATGCCCATTTTATCATCAGCCACTGAGCCTGTTCATTCAAACTTGGGAATTAATGCTCTTGGCATGCTTGAAGATGTCTTTGGCCTGATGTTAAAGCAACTAGATCACTTCCTGAATGTTTTGGCAGGTCTGTAGTCACAAAAAAAAAAAAAAAAAAAAAAAAAGAGCATTTTGATTTAAAAAAAAACACATTCTTCAATTAAATATCAGTACATTTTGTCAAAAACAAAATATGCTTCTAACCAAAATCCATAAGTAAGTTTCCTTTGGGTCCTTATGCATGCGTGCACAGTTTTACACCACTAGCTCAACCCACTGAATTCAACTAAAAGGTTTGCTATACCCTGTGAAACAACCTGTATAAAATTTCTGTATATAGAAAAATGGTTACATTATTTTATTAAGAACTAGTGAAATAAGCAACAAACATTGGAATGTTTGGTAGGTAAAATTAAGTATTTTGCTCAATAATTATCTTTTCCAATTTTAATTTTGAAGTGTTTTAGATAATTTAAACTATTTCTTTGAAATAGAAAGGCTCATTAATATATATTTTTTTCATAAACAAAAATAATCTTCCGGTAACTGGAAGGAGAACAAATATTTATTGAAAGCATTATTTAGATGTCTTTTATAAAACAGAGATTAAAAAAAAAGTTGCCACACAGAATATTACAAAATAATCAAGAAGTTTTTATCTTCTTAAAAGTATGAATTTTTGTGAAAAGCATACATTTAAAGTAGTATTTTCTCTCTTAAAGAATAACATGCCTCTTTTTTAAGTGATATTATACGTTTCCCATATACTTAATTTAAAAGCTTTTAAAATGTAGTCTACAAGAATTATAATTTCAAATATTTATATATCAGTTAAGATTTGTGCTTTAGAATTATAATACAGTAAAAGCTGAACTGTTTGAAAAGCTTAGGAAATGTGTCAAATACTAGATACATGAAAATTCTGAGTAGTTAAGCATATAAAAAATGGAATTTACATTAGAAAAGTTGAATGAATAAGAAAAATTTGCACTCTAAAATTTATAAAGTTATATTTGGTATAGTACTGCTACTTTAAACCTGTAATCCTAACAGATATGTAGAGAGTTATCACTGTGTCTGAGATGGAATGACAAAGTCTTATGTAGAGAGTTATCACTGTGTCTGAGATGGAATGAAAAAGTCTTGCATAAGTATGGCTCCTACTGTGAAACCTGAGGCATATGTGGAGATTTTTAATTTGCTGTCCACTTGAGGAAATTTCAAGATGGTAGCTTGGTTTAATACCACTTTAAATCTTTGAAATGCCGAGTTCGCTTGTGCTGAACAAGTGAAGCTGGCTTTCATTTCTTTTTTACTTCCTTGTACAAAGTAAAAAGGAAGTATTGTAATCGCAAAAAGTTTCAGGCAGCATATTTCAACGAAAATATCCATTTTGACCGCTATCGAATGCAATTTAACGATGTTTTTGCGTGATATCTGTACGTAAGGACAGAATAAAATACTCTTTTCCTTCAAAAAAATTATATAAAACTGCTTTAAATTAATTCTGAAGAGATTTTTCGTGGCATCTGTACGAACATATGTACGAGGGGCCATCCAGGAAGTAGATTACGTTTCCGTCGTGTCCGCTAGGGGCGGGGCTAGCGCGGCCATCTTGGGGTCAGAGCGTTGCGCAGCTCAGTCTGCATCTAGCCGTGCTAGTGAGAGGTTCGTGCTGTG